CCCCCCCCCATTTTGGGGTAAATACCCCCAGTTTAGGGACTTGGATGTGGCTTCTCCGAGGGCTGATACTGGGGTTGTGCCGCCCCCATTTTGGGGTAAATACACCCAGTTTAGGGACTTGGATGTGGAACGCCGACGTTGTGATGAGGTTTTATTGGGGTTAAATAAATAGCGTCAGGGTGGGGGGCAGCGACCCCGGGGGGTCCTGTCCCCCGTCCCCACTGGCCCGGCGGGACCCGCGTGTCCCCGATGCTCGTCCTCTCCCCCCCCTCAGATGCCATCCTTGGTCTTGGTGATGCTCAGGGGGATGGAGACCTCATCCTTGAGGTGACCCGCTCTGTGGCCGCGCCGGGGAAAGAGGAACCCCAAAACCTTCAGGCCTTCTCCCCTCAAAACCTTCATCCCTTCTCACCTCAAAACCTTTGTCCCTTCTCCTCCCAAAACCTTTGTCCCTTCTCCTCCCAAAACCTTTGTCCCTTCTCCTCCCAAAACCTTCGTCCCTTCTCCTCCCAAAACCTTCGTCCCTTCTCCTCCCAAAACCTTCGTCCCTTCTCCTCCCAAAACCTTTGTCCCTTCTCACCTCAAAACCTTCACCCTTCCCAACCCCAAGACCTTTGTCTCTTTTGACCCCAAAATCTTCAGCCCTTCCCAACCCCAAAACCTTCGGCTCTTCCAACCTCAAAACCTTCACTCTTCTCACCCCAAAGCCTTCGTCCCTTCTCACCCCAAAACCCTTGGTCCTCCCCACCCCACAACTTTCATCCCATCTGACCCCAAAACCGTCGTCCCTTCCTGCCCTAAAACCTTCGGCTCTTCCCACCTCAAAACCTTCAGCCCTTCTCGCCCCAGAACCCTTGGTCATCCCAATCCCAAAACCCTTGGTTATCCCCACCGCAAAACCTTGAACCCTTCCCAACCCCACATCCTTCTGGGTTCCTCCAAGAAAGAACTCTCGCCCTCCTGTGGGGATTTCCCCCACCTTGTGTCCACCACGAAAGGATCAGGGAGAAAAGGGAGCTGGTGGGGACGGGGACGCGCGGTGTGGCCAAGGCCACCTCACTGGGCAGCCCCTCACCGTCTCTCAACGTCGTTGACGGTCTCAGGCAGGGGCACGTTGCGGGTCTCGGGCAGGAAGCAGGTGGCGATGGCCGAGATGATGGGGGCAGCCCCGTAGATGACGAGGGGAAGCATGGGGGTCACGTCGGCTGCCATGCGAACCAGCGGGGCCACCATGCCACCCACCCGGGCCATGGTGCCCCCCAGGCCCATTCCCGTCTGCCTGCAACAGGGAGAGCAACGAGATAGGTGGATGGACGGATGGATGGATGGAGAGGTGGTTGGATGGAGGGTCTGATGATGGATGGATGGATGGCATGGAGAGGTGGGTGGATGGAAGGGTTGAGGGGTGGGGGGTTGGGGGATGGAGAAAGGTGGATGGATGGGTGGATGAAGGGGTTGAGGGAGATGCTGATGGATGGAGAGGTGGATGGACGGATGGATGGAGAGGTGGATGGATGGCTGGAGGGGTTAAGGGATGGAGAGGTGGATGGATGGAGAGGTGGGTGGATGGAGGGGTTGAGGGATGGACGGAGGGATGGATGGATGGAAGGAGGGTTTGATGGATGGAGAGGTGGTTGGATGCATGGAGGGGTGGCTGGAGGAATAGAGGGGTTGATGGAGAGATGTTTGGGTGGGTGGATGGATGGAGCAGATGAGGGATGGAAGGGTTGGTGGTGGATGGGTGAAGCATTCAAGGGATGGAGGACTTGATGATGGATGGCCAGGTGGTTGGATGGATGGAGGGGCTGAGGGATGGAGGGTTGATCGTGGATGGACAGAGGGGTTGGTTGGAGTGACGTTTGCATGGGTGGGTGAGCAGTTGGGTGGGCAGATGGGCTGGCCGTGGTTGGGTGGGTGGGTTGCTGGATGGGGGTTGACTCGGTGGGTGGGTTGGCAGATGGATGAGGGTGGACGGGCAGAGGGGGGGAGGGCTGTGGTGCCAGCAGCCCCCACGGGTGACCACCACCCACCTGATGATGGTGGGGAAGAGCTCTCCGGTGAAGATGTAGGCACAGTTGAAGGAGGCGGCCAACGAGCCCTTCCCGATCACCGCAAAAGCCATGCGCAGCGCCTGCAGCTCTGGGGACGGGGATGGGAGGTCTCGAACCTCCAGCCCCCCATCGGCTCCTCAGTGACCCACCAAAGGTCCTGCATCCCTCCAACCTCCACGCATCCTTCCACCCTCTGTCCCTCCATCCTGTCGTCCTCCAACCTCCATCCCTCCATCTTCCCAACCTCTGTCCCTCCAACTTCTCTCTCTGCCCTTCTTCCTCTTCTTCAGTCCCATTGTCCTCCATCTCATTGTCCTCCATTCCTACATCCCGTTGTCCTCTGTACTCCATCCTCCATCACTGCAGCCTGTTGTCCTCCATCCCTCCAACCCATTGTTCTCCATCCCGTTATCCTCCATCCCATTGTCCTCCATCCCTCCACCCCGTTGTCCTCCACCCCGTTGTCCTCCATCCCTCCACCCCGTTGTCCTCCACCCCATTGTCCTCCATCCCTCCATCCCGTTGTCCTCCCTCCCCTTGTCCTCCACCCCGTTGTCCTCCATTCCATTGTCCTCCATCCTTCCACCCTGTTGTCCTCCATCCCTCCCACCATCCCTCCACCTGTTGCGCCCACCCGTCGGCACAGCGATGTTGGCGAGGATGCAGATGCCGGCGAGCGCCAAGGAGCCCGCCTGGGCCACCCGCCGCCCCACGCAGCTGATGGCCCCCACCACCGAGGCCAGCTTTGCCGGGATGTCCACCGCCCCAAAGACCAGCTGGCTCAGGTAGATGTCCACCCCGAAGCCCTGCAGATCCATGGCCAGCCCGTAGTAGGCGAAGCTGGTGGAGAACCTGCCCCCAAAACCCAATGTTTCAACGCAAAACCCACCAGGTGTGACCAAGTAGGGACCAAAAAGGTGTGGGTTTCCCCCAAAAAGGTGGGGGTTGGCCCCCAAAAGGTGAGCTTTGACCCCTAGAAGATGGGGTTTGGTCCCCAGAAAGTGGAGTTTGGCCCCAACAAGATGGGGTTTGGTCCCCAAGAGGTGGAGTTTGACCCCAAAAAGGTGAGTTTTGACCCCCCAAAAAGGTGAGTTTTGACCTCCAAAAAGGTGAGGTTTGACCCAAAAAAGGTGGGGTTTGGTCCCCAGAAGGTGGAGTTTGACCCCAACAAGATGGGGTTTGGTCCCCAAGAGGTGAGGTTTCACCCCAAAAAGGTGAGGTTTGACCCCCAAAAGGTGGGTTTTGCCCACAAGGTGTTGTTTGCCCCCCAAAAGATCCTTTTTGCCCCAAAAGGTGGTTTTTGGCCCCAAAACAGCCCCACTTGCCAGACAAAGGAGACTCCGCAGGAGACCATCCTCATCCCGGGGGTGCGGACCAGGGCAGCCAGGGCCCCCCCTGGCAGCAGTGGCTCCCCCTGCACCAACCCCCGCCGCATCTGCAGG